TTTTTTTTATAAATCATAAATTGCACTGTCAGAGCAACATAAGATAACTTGGATTGCAAATTCAAATCGTAATTCAAATTAGATCAAAACGTAAATGAAATTTGTTTTTTGGGTTGCATCGCCAGAACGTCGGGCTCATTATCTTATCTGAATCACACTGTATAATCTTGAATGATTTAAAAATAAAACAAATTAAAAAAAATGTGTATCAAGTTCAAAAATTGTTCGGTAAAACAAAATAAAAAATTGAGGCTTTAACATCAGTCCATAACTTCTGTCTAAAACTGTCTAAAAAACTGATATAATATTTGGCAATGTAAAAGAAGTAGTACTTATACTTATAAATCAACTTTCAATTTAATTAATGTTAAATAATTTACAGTTTTAAATAATTATTAATTAAATTCAATAGTGAAATAATTAAATTAATTTTTTATCCGCTACAAACTAGCCTTCAGTGTACCTAAATAAGCAAATGTTATAACACTTATAACACAATTATTAAATCGAAAAATTTTAAAGTAGTGAGTCGAGATTATTAATCGCGGATTCGCAAAAAGCGTAGATTGGTGCTCTTAAATAAACGCATAGCGTTTGAAATGTAAGAATTAAAAATTTTCAAATTTTTAGTTTAAAACCTTATTGAAAAATTGCCTATCTCCTAAAAGCATTTTATTGCGAGTGCTTTTAAAACCATTCATTAAAATCCATTTAATCATCATAAAGCACTATCCAACAAATATCTTGGGGTTATGAAAAGGCACGAGGACCGTGTGAAATGACTTTAGATTCGGTCCAGGTGGGTCATGACTTTTCAGTCGCCCAACCAATTCCCCATCATACTTTCACCATTTCATTTCAACAACTTGCCTGTTCGATACCTCCAACAATGACTGAGTTTACATTACGTGCTATACTTTTTAACAATTGCCGAGAAGAAACCCATAAATTCTATCCTGTTCTCCTCTGGTGACATCTATTAGAGGCCACCAAAGCAGCAGATAGTGAAACCCAGTCCTCGTCACAAAGGTTCCAATGTTTTTGTATTCGCACAACAAATATATTGTATCAACCACAGATTGAATGTGCAGTTAATTGACCGTTAAGAATAAGAAGAAAAAGGGACACTTTTAACAAGTCAAACCCCCTTGTATGGCTTGGGATGGACCTCCTGTTGTTAGAAAACTGTTTCCACTCCCTGAAAGGTGATACTGGACGACGTTACTCAACGGCGAATGGAAATTTATTATTTCTATGGCTCCATGGTGTCTTCTGGGACTCACTGTTGTCTTAAAATCATTTTGACACTATTCCCACCTGTTGGAAAAGAGGTGGACTTCATTTGAATAGTTTGACACCCGTGGATTATGATTTATTGAACGCTTCAAGAAGAATAACTCATAGTTAAAATTCAGTTCTTAAATTTTGATAAATTGCAACAGATGGATGAAGCTTTAGTCAAACCGGAAACCGTTTAATGGGTGCTTTCGACATTTCGTCGTAATTACATGCGATTAATGTATTATAATATTAAATTATCTTTTAAACGTTGAAAAAGTTATCGATTTGCATAATGATCAACCTGCAGCTATAATATTTTCTCTAATTTAAATGAAGTGCTTTTGTTGTACTATAAATTGATGCAGGAGGTTATAGAATAATGATAAGGGCATATAATTTCCGTTTTGTTAGAAGTAAAAAACTTACCTATAGTGACTTTCCAAAGAACCAGTCACGTATATTTAATAAAAAACCTCGCGAATGTCCCTGCTTACTGTCGAGGACTTTAGCCAATAAAATTTCCATGAATGTTCAACAATCGGATGTTGGTGCTGTAAAGACAGCTTATAATAATCGTCAGAGAAGAACTTCTGGCCACCCACAATTCTCGTTTGAATGAAGAACATTCCTCGAGCTTAGCATATCGCCCCATGGTGTTGATGGCACTGATAAACAAGGTATTATTCGAACGCGTCAGGTATCCGATGACATAAAAAAGACTTGTTTATATTGCCATACACTAACTGCATGATTAATGGCTATGACACAATACTGAAAAGGATATACCAAACCATCACAAATGCCTGGTTA